GGGTTTAGGGTTTAGGGAGTTCGGGCTTTAGGATTTTCGGGCTTAGGGTTTATAGGGTTTATGGGGTTCAGGGAAAATAGGGTTGAGGGTTTAGGTTTTTTTGGGTTCAGGGTTTAAGGGTTTAGGGTTTAATTAGGGTTCGGGGCATGAGGGGTTCAGGGTTTAGGGAGGGGTGCAAAAAAAAACCATCATTCGGTACTTGGGTTTAGGATAATGTAGGGGCCTAAATGGTTACCAGTACTATTTTGGGGGTTCCTTCTTATAATGATAGTAGAATGGGCCCCAACACCCTATTGTAATTATAGAACCCTTATAGTAGCCCTTATAGAGCCCCGTAAGGAACCCCAAAACCCTATTCTAATTGTTAGGCCCCTATCTTGTAGAACCCGTATAGTAGCCCTTATAGAGCCCTGTAAGGAACCCCAAAACCCTATTCTAATTCTTAAGGCCCCTATACTATACTGAACTTAGACCCCCCAGCAAAAATTATAATTTTAGCTGCTTCTTAGGGTTTATAGTAACCAAAGATTAAAAATTATTTCTAAGTAACCCCAAAGTATATTCGTAAGTCTGAAGGTTCGCATGTAGGGGTCTCGGGTTTAGGTTGGAGGTATCAGGATTTTGAAGCTTACTTGGGGTCTTTGGGCTTGGGGTTTGGGGTTTGGGGGGTTTGGGGTTTTAAGAGGGTTTTGGGATTAGAGTTTAGGGTATGGGGTTTAAGGTATAGGGTTTTTTAATTTGAATGTGCAGTACCCCGCTTTCCCCGCAAGAAGACTCACTCAAGCTGAGCGTGCACTGTAGAGCACCATGGAAAACACAGCAGCCACTTAATTCAGGCATACATAGCAGGCCTCGAGAGGTGAGGTTGTGGTTTTAGTTGGCTTGAGGTGGGGGTGGGGCCAGGGTTTGTGCAGCTCCACCCAAAAATCCTGAACTTAGCTCCCTCCCTCACCTTAAAATCTAAAGTGCGTCGCTCGCCCTGAGACTGAGAATAGAAAGAGAGATCTACCCCAAAATCTTAACCCTAACCCCATCTTTAATACGAAGAACCCTTAACCCTTAACCCATCTTTTTGAACGATAAACCCTAAACCCATCTTTTCGACCAAGAACGCCCGCCTTGAAACCCCAAAGCCGTCGGCCCTAAACCCTAAACCCTAAACCCTAAACCCTAAACCGTGTCGACACCCAAAAAAAACCCACGACGCACCTCGGAGCCTCTGAGCCTGAACCCCAAGCCCTGAACCGGTTTAGGGTTTAGGGTTTAGGGTTTAGGGTTTAGGGTTTAAACCCTAATTAGGGTTTAGGGGTTTAGGGTTTAGGGTTTAGGGTTTAGGGTTTAAACCCTAATTAGGGTTTAGGGGCTTAGGGGTCAGGAGTTAGGGGATAGGGTTTAGGGGTTTAGGGTTTAGGGTTTAGGGTGTAAGACCAAACCCGAAACCCTAAACCGTATTCTGCTGATCACAAGAAAGCCGAACACCCCACAATTGTGGAATGCACCTTTGATCATGTATTTGAGGATGTTTCCTCAGGTAAGGGCCAGTAAAGATCGATAGCAACCGCATGAGTATCCTTGTAAAACCCATAATATTCTTTAAATACTTTTTCAACCCTAAATCCTAAAACCTAAACCGTAAATGAGGGCAAGGATGATTCCGCGGCTATCCGGGTGCTGAGGAGCCAGCATTGGTCAAGGCCTTCACAAGAGGGGCCAAATGGCCTTGGCTTGCGTATCTTGGGCTTGGGCAGTTGCTTCAACTGAGCCCTCGCGACGACGAAGCCGCATCCGAAAATCTAGGGGCCGTCACAGGATGAAAAAGGACACTCATATTAAGAATACTCATGATTGCGACGTGGACGACCCAGAGACCATATCACCAGGACACCACCAAAGACGGGAGCGTGGCCAAACTGCTTGCGCCACGTACTGGCGGATGCAGGACTACTGCACTGCGCTCCCCGATCCTGTGCAGATACAAGGACGTGCACGAAAATATGCACCGCACCACAACGGGAGCCGCATGTGCGGACGTTTCGTTTTTTGTCGGGATCAGGTTGAAGCTTTAATCACAAGGGTTGTGTACAGTAGAATCGGCAGTAGATTATACTAAGCCCCCTACTTACTTCTCATTTGGGGATATACGGCGCCAGATAATCTACTGTGGGTTCTACTGAAAATACATACATTTTCTATGATTTACGGCTCGTGGAGGATCCTCCAATACCCGCATTCTTCGCTCGGAGCATCTGGTTCGAATCCTCTCACCAAGTAGGGCATGGCTTGGCAGAGGACATGAAGGTAGGGATGGGAAGTGTAGGGCTTGGCGCTTAGTGTTTAGGGCTTGTGAGGCTTGTGGTTTAAGGTGGAATCTGGTCCCGACCAAGCCGACATGTCTTTCTCACTTCCTCTCCATGTAGCTTCTCCGGGGCCCAAACATCCGCCCTCGAGTTTGACGATATCTGCTCCTTCAGAAACGGTTTAGGGTTCAGGGTTACGCGGGTTCAGGGCTTAGGGAAACTCTTGGAAGAAAGCCCAAAACCTAGACGATACTTCGTGGAACCTGCTGGCAGTTTGGGCCACTCGTAAATCCTAAATGCCCAAACCTTCTCCTTGAATGCAAACCCGAACAGAACTTACGAGTAGCGGAATAATAACCGTAGAACTATACACAAGAAGAACCACTTGTAAAAGTGATCATAGAAGGCAGTTATCAGCAAATAACTGAGAATAGGTTCCCAGGTGGACTAAGCTAATTACACTACTGAATCACTTGCCTAAACCCTAATTACACCCTAAACCCCTACACCCTAAAACCACTAAACCCTAAATCCCAAACCTCTAACCCGAAGCTACTGACGCAACTTTACCCGTAGGGTCAGGAACTTGGGGTTCAGGGTTTGAGGGTTTATAGGGTTTATAGCATTTCAGGATTTAGGGATCTTAGGGTTTAGGGTTTCAGGGTTTCGGGTTTAGGGATCTTAGAGGTTTAGGGTTTCAGGGTTTAGGGTTTTAGGGTATAGGTTCAGGGTTTAGGGTTCGACTACCCTAAACCCTAAACCCTAAACCCTAAACCCTAAACCCTAAACCTCGACTCTTTAGATCCACTAACTGATGCCTTACGCGTAGGCCCTTGGAGGTCCTTCCAGATGGCACCAAATGGAGCCATTTTAGGGTTTAGGGTTTAGGGTTTAGGGTTTAGGGTTCATTGTTGCAGAATCTAGCAAGGAACCCATAACGAACTCCCCAAACACTCTACTGAAAACCCTAATGTAGGAGCCTGACTCAGAATCCCTGGTCCCATAAGACCAAAATAGTATGGATCCATATGACGAGCCCTTCTTAAAACCCTACAGTCTCTTCGACAGAATACTGAAAGGAACCGTTTCTTAGACAACCTGAAAGACCCGAAACAAAATGCTAGTAGACGGGCCTGAATGACAGAAAAAGATTTTGGGGGTACATGATACTATAACATACTTTAACCATTAATCAATCAGAATTGAAGAACCCTGCGAAATATTTGTAGTTTTCTATAATGACACAAAGCCCTAAGAGATTCCGAACCGTTCCCCGGGTTCTCCTGCGACTCGAAATGCTGCTGCATTGCGCAGCGCATCTTCGGGCGTCAGGTAGGAACCTCGTGGCCAGCCCAAAGGGTTCGGGGGATACTGGCTCAAACTATTTAAAACACAACTCCTAGTACAGAAAGCCTACATCCTACGATATAAGTACCTAGGAACCTCGTGGCTGGGTTGCAAGAGAGGGTGAGGTGCTGGGGAGGGTGGGCGGAGGGGCGGGGGTCGGGGCCTAGGGCTTCGACAACGAGGAGCACGATCAATGGAGGGATCTTAGGGTGGTGGATGCATAACATAGGGGCCTCAAGACTTAGAATAGGATTTGCGGGGTATATCATACTATAATATTGGTAAGAAGGAACCCCCAAAACCCTATTCTAATTATCAAGGCCCCTACATTAAGGCACAAGGTCTTCTCCAATGCTGGAGGGAGCGACAAGGCTTTCGAAGCTCAACGGCAGCCAGCAAGCAGAAATTACCATGGTACCCGACAGAAGTATGGTAGATGTCAGCGGAGTGTGCTCGAACGCGAAACTCTCGGCTGAAAACTTTTTGAAGAACCCTAAACCCTAAACCCTAAACCCTAAACCCTAAACCCTAAACCCCTAACCCACAACTCAAAGGCCCCAGTCCCCAAGCCCCCATAATCCACAGCACCAAATCCACAGCCCCAAAGCCCCAACCCCTAAAGATTTAGGGTTTAGGGTTTAGGGTTTAGGGTTTAGGGTTTAGGGCTTAGGGAATCCTAGACCTGAGCTGCCCACCGAAGGGCATGTCCTGGCGTCGAGGTGGCACAAACTCAACCCACCCTTAACCTTAGGGTTTAGGGTGTATAGGGTTTAGGTTTTAGGGTTTAGGGTGTAGGGTTTAGGGTTTAGGGTTTAGGGTTTAGGGGTTTAGGGTTTAGGGCTTAGGGTTTAGAGGGTAGAGGGTTTAGGGTTTAGGGGCGCTGGGCCTTTGCATCTCGCTCCACACGTCGAACTGGAAACGGCGATAAGTTTACACGAAATACACGCAAAGTGCCAAGCTACAAAAGTACACAACGCACATAGATACAGACAAACAAAAAGACACACATACAGTTGGGTTTCCTTTTTCGGTCAGTCAGCTTGGCCCTTATAGGTCTGGACAAAGACACGGATGAGTTCGCGAGCGCGGCGATCATCACCGCACCATTCATCGAATAACATGAACTGAAAAGCTAACTCCAGGTGGCTGCACGGCTGGATGAACTAGCAGACACATGAGACAAGCAACGAACAAGTTTGGGTACCGGGTAATGATTCAGTCAGTCTACTTCTCGTCGTTCTAAGTTGTGCCGTTACCACGTCTTCCAGGTGCTTCATACATCCGGGAAACTCTATACGGGCAGTTCTCTAAACTAGGGTACCTTTTTTAGGTTCCCCAAAAGAGTATGGCACCTGTATAAAAAGGGGCCCTAAAACTACCCATATGGGCCATGCAACTACATCCCTTTAAGGGAACCCTTAAAGGGAACCCTTAAAGGGACCCTAAAGGTACGCTTTATGGGTCTTGTACCTGACATCTGGAGATGCAAGTGCCCCTCATACCAGGGTCTAGGGTTTATGATTGCATTTTGGGTTTTGGGTTTAGGGTTTAGGGTTTAGGGTTTAGGGTTTATAAAGGTTTTGGGGCGGAATGACCGAAGGGCATGTTCAAGGCTTTTGCAGAGGAACAAGAAAACGATGAGGATCCCACAACTTAGATCGCTTAGACAACCCAACCTTTGATTTCGAACCGGAAAACACGGACATGCAAGGCCATCCCAGTGCCCTTTACCGGCCCCGAGCATGGCCAACTCCAAAACAGCTAGCTAAGGCAAAGGGCCAAGATCTTCATTAGAGTCTTCGGTTTGATGAAGAAGCCTGCCAGAATACAAACCTAAACCCTAAACCCTAAACCCTAAACCCTAAACCCTAAACCCTACATATTGCAGCCGAAGATCTGAAACCTTTACGAGCATGATAAATATTTGTGAAATCCTGCCTTGCTCGTGCGACATCTACACGACCAGAAACGCACCGCCCAAAACTCCACGTTCCTACGGTTTAGGGTTTAGGGTTTAGGGTTTAGGGTTTAGGGGACCACGACAAAGCCCATATCCCAAGATGCGCACCTCATGTTGGTCTAGTGCTCAGGGAACTCCTGCCACCCAAAGGGCTAACGCAGGAGTCTCCATAACCCACTTTAAATATTGCAAAACACGCATAAGGAGTGTTGCCCTTCAGCCACAACCCTACCTGTGTCCGAAAGCGACACCCTACACCCCACTCGCCAAACCCTAAACCCCAAACCCGCAACCCTAAACCTTATTCCCTGTGCCCCTGAACCCCTAAACCCCTAAACCCCTACGCCCCTAAACCCTAAACCCCTAAACCCTAAACCCCTAAACCTAAACCCAAGCCCCTTCTGGGACCCCTGCTCCAATCACCAGGGGCTTCGGCGACGAGCCCGACGCGGCGTCGACTCCCCGGCGCACGGCCGTAGTGGCACGGAGCATATCCTTGCTCGGCAGGGGTTTAAGGTTTAGGGTTTAGGTTTTTGTACCCTAAACCCTAAACCCTAACCCCTAAGGTTTAGGGTTTAGTTTTTTGTAAGAAAGGCGTAGGGTTTAGGGTTTAGTTTTCCTTTAACGGTTTAAGGTTTAGTTCTTTTGAAGATTTAGGGTTTAGGAGTTTTTCTTTGCGGAACGTACACTAAACCCTGAACCCCAGAGTGGGTCGAAACTGCGGGTCGCGCCCAGGAGTTCCAGGTAGTTGGCGCTCGCAGATTTACGGCCGAAGTGTGGGGGTTTAGGTTTTAGGGTTTAGGTTTTACGGCCGAAGTGACATGCAGGTTTAGGGTTTAGGGTTTAGGTTTAGGGTTTAGGGTTTAGGGTTTAGGGTTTAGGGTTTAAGGTTTAGGGTTTAGGGGTTTAGGGTTGTCATGAGCACCACAGGACAAAGTCCCAAAGGATCTGAGTACCAACAAAGCCAAACTCTTTCTTTCTTTTTCTCTCTCTCTCTCTATTTCTCTATCTCTCTTTATATACACATATCGAGAAATGTATATATATATATATATGTATGTATATATATATATATATGTACTGACCTTGGCACTTAGGTACTTAGACTTGTTGGGGATGGCTGGCTTCCACAATGCACTTTAATGCACTTCTCAAGGTCTGAAGATCCTTCAGGGGTTTAGGGTTTAGGGTTTGGCAAACTTGGGGCCAAGGAGATATGACGAATACCCTAAACCCTAAACCCGAAGCCCTAAACCCCTAAAGCCCCTACTGCAGCGACTCCAAACTGAGCCCTAAATGTCCTAAACCCCAAAACCTACACTGCCCTACACCCTAACAACCCCTAAGCCCCTACACCCTAAACCCCTAAACTGCTAGTAACCCCTAGGAAGTCGAAACCCAAGGAGCCCCCAAAACCCTAAACCCCTGAACCCCGATTTCTAAACCCCTAGGAACCCCAAACCGAGGAGCCCCCGAAACCGCCAGAAGCCCTAAACCCTAAAAGGTTAGGAGCCCTAAACCCTAGGAGCCCTAAACCCCAAACCCTAAACCGCTAGGAGCCCTAAACCCTAACCTAAACCCTAAGCCCCTAGGAACCCTCAACCCTAAACCCTAAACCGCGAGGAGCCCTAAACCCCTAACCTAAACCCTAAGCCCCTAGGAACCCTCAACCCTAGGAGCCCGCGATCCCCACGGTTTAGGGTTTAGGGTTTAGGGTTTAGGGTTTAGGGTCCCGAGGAGCCCGCGATCCCCCTTTTCCCCCTGGCCTCCATGGTGACACCAACGGTGTCGGGAAGACCCAGCCTGAGGCTTGGAAGGTGAGAAAGGCAAACAGGGCTTCCTGCTTAGGGTTTGTAGGGTTTTAGGGTTTAGGGAGGCTTCCTGCTTAGGGCTTTCGGGTTTTAGGGTTTAGGGTTTTAGGGTTAAGGGTTTAGGGTTTTAGGTTTTAGGGTTTAGGGTTTAGGGTTTAGGGGAAAGGAAAACAGGGCTTCCTGCTTCGGGCTTTCGGGCTTTAGGGTTTAGGGGCTTAGGTTTTAGGGTTTAAGGTCTAGGGTTTTGGGGTTTTGGCTGTTTGGATTAATTAGGGTTTTGGGGTTTGGGGTTTGCGGGCTTAGGTTTTAGGGTTTAAGGTCTAGGGTTTTGGGGTTTTAGCTTTTGGGATTAATTAGGGTTTTAGGGTTTAGGGTTTTCGGGTTTTGGTTTGATGGTTTAGGGTTTGGGGCTTAGGATTTTGGGTTTTGGGCTTCTGCGCAATACTTAAGCGCCCGTGGCCTTTCAGTTTTACTAGAAATACCGAAAGAAACATCCGATTTCTAAGAGCACTAAAGAATGTAGGGGCCTAAACCCTAAACCCTAAACCCTAAACCCTAAACCCTAAACCCTAAAGCTTGGAGCAGGCTCCACCGAAACCAGCAAGCTTGATGCTAATGCAGGGGCCTTAAGTTTTGGGGGTTCCTGAGTTCCTGGTTTGTAGTCATAGCACAGTAAACCCCAAACCCTGTTCTTTTTAGGGTTTAGGGTTTAGGGTTTAGGGTTTAGGGTCTAACTATTAAGGCCCCTATATTACCTATAGCCTCCATCGTAGTTCCTGGTGAAGCCAAAAAGGGGAACTACAACGGAGACTGTAGGTAAAGCTCGAGTTAGCACCGCTCAACGAATTCTGCCGGCTGAAACCACTTCAGGGTTTAGGGTTTAGGGATTTAGGGTCTTTGGTGACTAAACCCTAACTCTAAACCCTAAACCCTAAACCCTAAACCTGCGCAAAAAGAGCCATAATACAGCTTCGTGATTGTCGTTCGAAGGATGGCCAACAAAAAACGAAAGACAGCTGGGAGCCCTGCCGACAATTTCCGAGACCTTGGCCACAATCGTGTTTCGTTTTAGGGTTTAGGGTTTAGGGTTTAGGGTTCAGGGTGTTTTGGCTTCAGCAAGACAGGAAGTGTTGAGGCAGAGTAGAGGAGAAACGACGAAACTAACTGTTGAGTGTTCCACTGACGTACATTCGGGACCCTATAGCCCTAAACCCTCAAGGACCTGTGCCCTACCCTACTGGAACTCAGAGCCAGCAAGGTTCTCAAACCCTAATCCTTCAACGCTACACCCTGAAACCTAAACCCGAAAGACCCTCACACCATCCGCAGCAAAGCCCACAGAGTTGAATAATGTTTCTATGGGTAATTCTCTAAATTAGGGTCCATTTTAAGGTCCTATTTATGAGGGTGCCGTGCTAAGGGGACCTATACAGGGACCCTGATTTTGAGAACTGCCCATATATAGAGGCCGTGATAATTCGAACCGGGTCCCTGCACACGGCGGCTTTCTGCCGAGGCTGTATGTGTTTTGTTCGGTTCTTTCAGGAATTTAACAATAGCTACCATAGGGTTTTGGTGTATACCTATTCACTAGAATTAGGAAGCGGACTCTAAGGGGCAAATCGAAGCATTTACTCTGGCATCTATATTACGCAGATGAGAAGCTACTGACATGTTCTCCGTTAGCAAAACCCAAAGCCCATAAGCTGCACAAAGACTAAATGCAGATACTGTAACCTCAGCTCCTAAGGTCCAAAACCCTAAACCTCAGCTCGCCTGAAGCGACTGCCCGACACTGCAGCAAACAAGCTTCCGACTGTCCCCGACGAGAACCAATTCGACTCCCGCTGAGCGAGCAAAGCGCGCCGATGGGAAGTCATAGGCAGTAACCTGTCACACAACTCCCTGAACCCTAAACCCTAAAGGTTTTTATTCAGTTTTGAGGATGCTGTATCACTATGTCCACGGCAGAATCCGTTGCTGTGGAAGATTTTCAAGGCAAGTGGGCAATGACCATGAGAGGAGACGGTGAGAGTGACGATTGTCAAGGTACCTGCAGGACCAAAAGACCCTTGAAACTAGGGACCCTATACCCTTATACTATGAATCCCTATTATGGTATGTGAACCTTAAGCCCTTTTGGGGTTCATTTCGCCCCTTAGGTAATGATGCTTTGCTTCATGGCGTGCGAAGAATGACGATGGCGACGACCGAGGTCGATACAATCACAGCTTCAATCCTAATTGCGATCCTGTACCAGAAATGAGACGGCAATGAATGTTGTGCTACTGGCACTAACCCTCGTAAGACGTGGTGATAACCAGCCATGATGATGCAGGAGCTGATGCTG